AGATTTCAGCGGTGACATGGGAGGGTTTATTGAGATGTTCAGGGACGAGTACGTTCCCCAGTGGAGAGGGAACGATTGATTCAGGAGTTCTTGACCCTTAAGCAGGGTACTGATTCCGTTGCGATGGTCACACGGAAGTTTCACGAGAGGGCGATGTTCTGCCCCGAGCTGGTGTCTACAGAGCAGTCACGGATGAGCCGGTACTTGGGCGTGTTGAGGAGGGATATCCGGGAGTTTGTATCAAACTCCACTACCGTACTTTTACTGAGCTTCAGGCGAATGCCAGGAAGCGCGAGATCGAGTTAGAGACCCAGGCCAGGGAGGAGGCCGAGTCTCGGCAGGCGGATCGGCGACCGGCTCAGTCTCAGCCGGCAGCCAAGCGGATCAAGTCCGCTGATTCGAGGATGGGAGGTTCGAAGAGCCGTACTTGCGGAAAGTGCGGCAAGGGTCATGAGGGGGTGTGTCGAGCGGGTGGTTGCTACAAGTGTGGCAAGGAAGGACACATTGCCAGGGATTGTCCTAAGGGGTTCTTGGTTTGCTTTCATTGCAACCAGACAGGCCATCGGAAGGCCGAGTGCCCGCAGCTTCGTCAGGGATCTACACCTACTACCAGGACTACCGAGACACGACCGGTGAAGGTCGAGGCCCCGAGGGCTCGCGGGAGAGCCTTTCAGCTGACTGCGGAGGAGGTCCGCGCTGCACCCGATGTAGTGGCAGGTATACTGTAATTCGCGTATTTATTTAAAGTTGAAATGTTATGCTTATGTTAATATATGTGTAGGTACTTTTCTTGTGAACTCTATGCCTGCTCTTGTGTTATTTGATTCGGGTGCGAGTAGATCCTTTGTATCTTTAGCTTTTAGTCAGCATATCAGCATTAGTCGTGAGCCGTTAAGTCGGCCTCTGAACGTTTCTATAGCGGCCGAGAGGGTGGTTTGTGCTACGGAGGTTTTTCGGGGATGCGTACTAGAGATTTTTGGGGTTGCGTTTCCGATTGACCTAATTCCTATTGCGATGGGTGATGTCTGTGTCATCGTGGGCATGGACTGGTTGAGCCGATTCAGCGCCATCATCGACTGTGAGCGCCAGCTGGTGACTATACGAGACCCTAGTGGGGGAGTTCTTACGGTGTACGGCGAGGGTACCCGTTCGGGATCAGCTTTTTGTTCGGCCGCTAGGGCGAGACAATGTCTACAGCAGGGATGTAAGGGTTTTGTGGCGTATGTGATGGATACGCGGGAGGCTTCCGAGAGACCGAGGTCAGTGGAGGAGGTACCAGTGGTGCGCGAGTTTCCAGATGTCTTTCCCGAGGATTTGCCTGGAGTACCTCCTGCGAGGCAAGTGGAGTTTGGTATCGATCTGATTCCGGGGGCTGCGCCTATTGCGAAGGTGCCATATCGTCTTGCACCTCCAGAGATGCAAGAGTTGTCCTCGCAACTTCAGGAGTTGCTGGGGAAGGGGTTTATTCAGCCAAGGAGCTCGCCGTGGGGAGCACTGATTCTGTTCGTCAAGAAGAAGGATGGCTCACACCGGATGTGCATTGATTACCGGGAACTGAACAAGGTAACGGTCAAGAACCGTTATCCGCTACCGAGGATCGATGATTTATTCGATCAGTTGCAAGGAGCATCTTGGTTTTCCAAGATCGATCTGAGGTCAGGGTACCATCAGGTAAGAGTGCGGGATGAGGACGTCCAGAAGACAGCATTTAGGACGCGATATGGGCATTACGAGTTTGTGGTGATGCCTTTCGGGCTCACCAATGCTCCGGCGGTGTTCATGGACCTCATGAACAGGGTATGCAGGCCGATGTTAGATCGGTCAGTGATTGTATTTATCGATGACATCCTGGTGTATTCGTGATCTAGAGAACAGCATGAGGGGCATTTGCGGGAGGTCCTTGAGGTACTGAGGTCGGAGAAGCTATATGCAAAGTTCTCCAAATGTGACTTCTGGTTGCGTGAGGTCCAATTTCTTGGACATGTGGTTAATCAGGCAGGGATATTGGTCGACCCAGCCAAGGTTGAGGCTGTGATGAGTTGGGAGGTACCGAAGTCACCTTCTGAGATCAGGAGTTTTCTTGGGTTGGCGGGGTATTATCGAAGGTTTATTAAGGACTTCTCCAAGATCGCTATGCCGCTCACCAGATTGACCCAGAAGGGTGTTGCATTCTCATGGGGACCCGAGCAGCAGACTTCCTTCGAGACACTACGTCAGAGACTGTGCGAAGCCCCGGTATTAGCCCTCCCGGAGGGGATGGAGGATTTTGTCGTATATTGCGACGCATCGATTTCGGGACTGGGTGCAGTGTTGATGCAGAGAGGTCATGTGATAGCTTATGCATCGAGGCAGCTAAAGCCTCATG